TCTATTAATATGTAATTTTTTAAAGCCCGACACAGGCTTATAATTGTGACCTATCAGATTCCTTTTTTCTTTTTTTTTACCATTTCGTCTTTGTATTTGTTTTTTTTTTAGTATTAGTTTTCACCTATTTTACTTTCCTCTTTAATATTAGTATCAGTGTTAGTGCTTTTTTCTTTTTTCCACTTCCCTACAGAAGATGTCATCAGTTTGGTGATATCCTATTGTAGGGCGGTGGTCTGATAGTGCCTTCTGAGATAGATGTAATTTCTAGTTGAAATGCATCGTGATGTGTTCAAAGAGACGTGTCTGCTCAGTGTAGCCGGTCGCTTGTAAGTGCTCTTTGAAGTAACTGCAGAATGTCATATCTAAAATTATGTAGTATAACAATTTGTTTGATATCATTCTAACCAATCGATGCCCAGTAATAAAGAATTTTGGCAAGACGGCCAAAGTGGAAAAAAAAATATATATATATCTTTAGAAGCCAAATGATGAACAATACATGAACCTTCAGCATGAGAAAAAATATAAAATTGATGATCACGAGTTGTTGAAAAAACTGCACCATTAATGTGAAAGAAAATTTTTAAAGATATATAAGAAAGAGATTCAAGATCTGAAACAGATGTGTCAATATACGAATGAAATGAATTATCTCGTTCATACATAGCAATAACTTGAGTAATACACAATGTGTTATCAAATTTAGCTATTACAAAAGATCCAATTCGTAATAGAAAAAGAGCTATGTTGTTGCATAAACAGTGCCCTAAAAAAATTATAATTAAAAAATAAATAAAATGTATTAAAATAAGTTCAAATTTCAGCATCATCCTCAACAATAAATAAATTATCTGAATGACTTTTCTCAGATACATTATTACTAGTATTTCCACCTGATCTCCATCTATTTTTTCATGATTTATTAGTTATAATACAATCGTTTTTTGTCAAATGTGACACTAGCCTGCTAGCCTTATTTATATTAAACTCATTTAGAACATTTCTTTCATTATTATTTTTAGAAAAAAACTTAATTCGTTCAAGGTTTCTTTCTGAATGAGCATCATGACATTGACGCAAGTCCAACAAGAATTTGATATTTAATGAATTATTGTCCAAAATAGAATCAGATCTAGAATCTATAAATGTAAAGTTCTAAAATTATTTATACAATTAAACGTTTAACATTAAAATAAATTAATTATTTACCACTTGGGAACCATGAAATGTCAGGTAGCTTTTGAACATGTTCTATAACTACCTGACAAGCTCTATAAGTTTTTTCTAATAAAAGTTCAGGACTTGGATCTGAATTTAATTCTTGACTCCTATTCATTTCAGATACAGCATTGTTTATGCAATGAGAAATAGATAAACTATTCATGTTATCTTCATTATGATCATTATTATCAGCAGTTTCAAGATTTGAATCATCATTCCAAAAGTCTTCAAGTTGTGAAGTAGGGTATTTTTTGTGGATATTAAAATAATAAGCATCATTCGGTATAGAAGTCATTTCTAAATGTCTTGCCAAATGAACGGCTCTTTTATAGCCAGTATTAATTGCATCATCGATTTCAATATCAGATGGCCAATAGCGTAAGCATTCAAGATTATTATCTAAGAAAGTAATTTCTTCACGTTCATTAAAATCGTAGTTTAGAATAAGCTTCAAATCATTAAAATAATAATATATTGAGATCCACATGATTATTATTAATATATTATATTTACCTTCACATACTTTTTTTTCTTTTCTGAATAGTAAATGTTCTGATTGAATAGATCTAAAATATTGACTGATTTTTGGAACCATTTGTAAAATTTCTAAAAAGGTAAAATCTGATC